CCTAAATAGACACTTTTTGAAGTGGACATACAGAAGGCCAAGAGACATATGAAAACATGCCCAAAGTCACTAATCATCTGAGAGATGTAAATCAAAATAACAATGAGGTACCATCTCACACCTGTCAGACTGACTATCATCAACAAATCAACAAATGACAAGTGCTGGCGAGGATGTGTAGAAAAATGAACCCCTCTTGCACTGCTGGTGGGAATGCAAACTGGTGCAGCCACTGTGGAGAACACTATGGAGTTTCCTCAAAAAACTAAAAATAGAACTCCCATTTGACCCAGTAATCCCACTTCTAAGAATTTATCCCAAGAAACTAGAAACACCAATCAGAAAGGATATATGCACCTCTATGTTCATAGCAACACAATTAACCATAGCTAATATTTGGAAACAGCCTAAATGCCCATCAGCATCCAAGTGGGTTAGAAAACTATGGTACATCTAAATAATGGAATACTACACTGCTATAAAAAAGAAGGAATTATTACCATTTGCAGCAGCATGGATAGAACTAGAGAGCATTATGCTAAGTGAAATAGCCAGGCAATAAAAGAAAAATACATGATCTCACTCACTTATGGAAAATAAAGAACATTATAACCTGATGAACAAAGAGATAGATACAGAGGCAGTAAAGCATGGAACAGACTCAAATTACAGTGGGAAGGCTGGGGAGTGTTGGGGAGGAGGGGAAAGAGATCAACCGAAGGACTTGTATGCATGCATATAAGCATAACCAATGGACACAAGACACTCCGGGGTGGGGTGGGATGAGGGCATGCGACAGGGAGTAGGGGAGGCTGGGGGAAGGTAAATGAGGGGGAAAAAAATGGAGATATATGTACTACTATGTGTAATACTTTCAACAATAAAAAAATCTTTATTGTTGAAAGTATTATAATACTTTCCTACCGGCCCCCTCCACCTGGTTCCCACCTCATGCCCAGCCTTCAACAATGTATTGTCTGTGTCCAAAGGTAATGCATAAATGCATAAAAAATTTTTGGTTAATCTCTTCCCACCTACCTCTGCCCCCTTCCTTGTGAGATTTGTCAGTCTGTTCCATGTTTCCATTCCTTTGATTCTATTTATATGATCAGTTTATTTTGTTCAATAGCTTTTGTGTTCATTTATTTTGATTTTTAGATTCAATTGTTGATAGATATATATTTATTGCCATTTTATTGATCATATTTTGATTTTTTTCTTCTTCTTTTTCCTCTTCTTAAAGAAGACCCTTAAACATTTCATGTATTCCTGGTTTGGTGGTGATGATCGTCTTTAGCTTTTATTTATTTGTCTATTTTGTCTGTGAAGCTCTTTATCTGACCTTCAATTCTAAATGATAGCTTTGCTGGGTAGAGTAATCTTGGTTGTAGGTCCTTGCTATTCATCACTTTGAATATTTCTTGCCACTCTCTTCTGGCCTGCAAAGTTTCTGTTGATAAATTATCTGTCAGTGATATGGCTCTCCCTTATAGGTAACTAACTGCTTTTCTCTTGCTGCTTTTAAGATTCTCTCTTTGTCTTTAACCCTTGGCATTTTAATTATGATGTATATTGCTGCAAGCCATTTTGCATTCCTCTTGTTTGGGACTCTCTGCACTTCCTAGACTTGTAAGTCTATTTCTGTTCACCATGTAGGGGAAATTCTCTGTCATTATTTCTTCAAATAAGTTTTCAATATCCTGCTCTCTCTCTTCTTCTGCCACTCCTATAATGTGAATGTTGGTATGTTTGAAGTTCTCCCAGAAGCTCCTTACACTAACTTCATATTTTTTATTCTTTTTTTCTTTGCTCTCCTAATGGGTGTATTTGCTTCCTCATAATCCAAGTTGTTGATTTGATTCTTGGAATAATCTATTGTTAAATCCATGGAAATTTTTCTTTATTTCAGTTAGTGTATGCTTAATTTCTGACTATTCCTTTTTTATGTCTTTGAAATTCTCAGTAAGATCCTTGAAAGTCTCACTAAGTCCTTTTACAATCTCATTAATTCCCTTGAGATTTTCTTTAAGTCCTTTGAAGCTCTCACTAAGGTCCTTGAGTAGCCTTATAACTTTTGTTTTGAACTCTGTATCCAGCAATTTGCTTGCTTCCATTTCTTGCATTTGTAACATGTTCCTGGTCTACACATTTTGGCTGCTTCCCTGTATTTGTTTCTATGTATTAGGCAGAGCTGTTATGTCTCCTGGAGTTTGTAGTGTGGCCTTGTGTAGTAGGTGTCCTGTAGGGCTTAGTGGCTCAGTCTCCCCAGTCACCTCAGCTGGGCACTATAGATGAGCTTTTGTGTGGTCTGTGAGCATAATCTTGTTGTAGCTGAACCTTGATTACTGTTGGCATCACTTGGAGGAATTTACCTCTAGGCCAATTATCTGTAAGAACCAGCTGTGTCTACAGTGAAAGAGCTACTGTGCAGGAGACACCCCGATGGAGCAGGACTTGCTTCAATGGGGCTTTGGTGCTCACTGAGTTTGCCTCTTGAGTGTGTTGCTTGTGGATTCATAGAGTTGTAACCTGCTAAGATCTGATGCTGTCCGCTGGGGTGCATTGGCTCTGGGACTTCCTGGGAAGTGCAAAGTCAGACACTGCCTGGGGCAACCTAGCAGGAGCTACAGAGAGATCTGAAGATCACTGGTACTTGTATTTGGCTAGGAAGTACCCAGGAAAGGCCCAGCTGTGAAGCAAAGCAGGCTGGTGGTAGGTTCAGGTCTTAGGACTTTTATTGATAGGTTTGGGGCAGGCTGACTCTAGCTGCTGCTTGGTTAAGAGATTTTAGCAGAGTCTAAAGCCTGAGCCAGAACAGGTCATTCATATGAAAAAGCAACTACAAACCTCTTGTGTGGGACTACACATTTGATGGGGTGTGGTCTCAAGGAATCACCAGGGCAGAGAAAACATTGTGGGTTGTGCTGATGGAAACAAAGATATGGCTGCCAGTCAGCTATGTGATGGGGGAGTCCCAGCATAGGAACAATGACCCCTGTGATCATCCCTGTCTGGGAGAAAACTGAACCTGAGTTCCTGTCAGATAGTCTAGTTCCTCCCCATATGTCCTTGATTCCCCCAGAACTCAAAGGAAGCAAGACAGTGTAAGTTTGTGTGTGGGCCCTTTTCAGAGGAACACCTGTGTCTCCAGCAGCCCCCATGTCACTCAGCCACAGTCCCTGCTGTTTATTACAGCCAGAGGTTAAGGGGACCTCTCTTTCCAGCTCTGGAAACCTGGCCTGGGGGTCTGGTGTGTGGCTGGTCATGGAAGTCCTTGGAGACATCCCTCCTGATTAGAATAATGCTACACATGTGTGTCAGACCAGCCTGCTCCATGCCCCTACCCCTCCTACCAGTCTCAATGTGCTTTCTACTTTACCTTTTTAGTTGTAGGACATCCATTCAGTCATATTTTAGGTCGTTCTGAATGATGGGTTTTCTGTACTTTAGTTGTAATTTTGATGTGGTTGTGGGAGGCAATGAGTACAAATAGTTAGCTATGCTGCCATCTTGGTTCTCCCCTTAGCACAAACTTAAATAATACTGAATCATTATAAATATACCATAATTACATAATTACAAATATACCATAACATTTTTCAGGACATTCAAATATATTATATTTCCTTGTGTTTACCAATATACTTAGCATTTTCTTTTTCCCTCCTATTTCTTTTAGAATTAATGTTTTATTATACACATTATTATAGGTACCTAAAGTGTAAATAACCCAGGAGAGTGATGGTGTATTTTGCATAGTTGTATTCTCCAACATGTCTACCTATGTGTCTCACATAGTAGGTACTCAATAACTTCTGATTCAATGCAAATTATTTGGATCTATACATTATGTATAAATCTATTGCATGCTTCCTACTTGAATGAAATAGATTAGGATATATTTCAAATAAGGCAGGTCAATTCCCTTTCTTTATTTGTAATTTCATTGTATTTAATATATCCTGTAAGTCACTTTCTAA